GGAGGTGTTAAGCTGCAGTGTTTGTAGCTTGTTGACCAGACGATTGGAGCTGATGGAGTTGAATGCAGAGCTGAAGTCTACAAACAGCATTCTGACGTATGTTCCGGGACTCTCAATGTGGTTGAGGGCAGAGTGGAGGGCAATGGAGATGGCATCCTCCGTGGATCTATTAGTCCTGTAGGCGTATTGGTGTTGGTCGAAGCCAGGTGGGATGTGGGCCTTGATCTGCTGAAGCACCAGCCTCTCCATACATTTCATGACTACTGGTGTTAGAGCCACAGGCCGGTAGTCATTCAGCCCTGTGATAGAGGAGGATTTTGGCACAGGGATTATGGTGGCGGTTTTCAGGCAGGTAGGGACTGTGGCTTGCTGTAATGAGCGGTTGAAGATGGTGGTAAATACGGCAGCGAGCTGGTGGGCACATGACTTAAGTACCCTCCCTGGTACTCCATCAGGTCCTGTTGCCTTATTGGTGTCAATGGCTCGCAGGACTCGTAGTACCTGGTGTTGTTGAATGGTGGGGGGGGGGTGGATATGCTCTGGTGGTGTCAGCTGTGTGTCCTCTGCCCGTCTGCTGTCCTCTTCAAAGCGGGAGAAGAAGGTGTTAAGTTGATCTGGGAGAGAGGTGTCGGTGGGGGAGGGGATGGAGTGGCACTGTCTGTAGTCAGTGATGTTCTGGATGCCTCTCCACATTGAGCGGGGGTTGTTTTCCCTGAAATTGGCCTCTATCTGCTCTCTGTATTTTGACTTTGCAGCTTTGATGCCTCTGTTCAGGTCCGCTCTGGCTCTCCTGTAGGCCTCCCTGTCATTTGCTCGAAGTGCTGAGTCCCTTGCCCGGAGCAGTGTTCTGATGTGGGTGTTAAACCAGGGTTTTTGATTGGGGAATGTTTTAACTTCTTTCTTTGTTATGACAGTGTCCATGCAGAAGTTGGTTGTTGGGTTGCATGGTGCCGCGGGCTTGGTGGTGGCGGGGGTTTTGGGGGGGGGGGGGGGGGGGGGGTGGATATGCTCTGATGGTGTCAGCTGTGTGTCCTCTGCCCGTCTGCTGTCCTCTTCAAAGCGGGAGAAGAAGGTGTTAAGTTGATCTGGGAGAGAGGTGTCGGTGGGGGAGGGGATGGAGTGGCACTGTCTGTAGTCAGTGATGTTCTGGATGCCTCTCCACATTGAGCGGGGGTTGTTTTCCCTGAAATTGGCCTCTATCTGCTCTCTGTATTTTGACTTTGCAGCTTTGATGCCTCTGTTCAGGTCCGCTCTGGCTCTCCTGTAGGCCTCCCTGTCATTTGCTCGAAGTGCTGAGTCCCTTGCCCGGAGCAGTGTTCTGATGTGGGTGTTAAACCAGGGTTTTTGATTGGGGAATGTTTTAACTTCTTTCTTTGTTATGACAGTGTCCATGCAGAAGTTGATGTATGATAGTACAGAGGTGGTGTGAAATTCAATGTCTGATTCCTCGAAGAGCTCCCATGAGGTATTCTCAAAGCAGTCCTGCAGAATCAGTGTGGTCTCCTCAGTCCAGCACTGTATGGTCCTGTACTGTGGCTTAGATCTGCAGATGAGGGGCTTATAGACTGGTGTAAGGAAAAGGGAGAGGTGGTCAGAGTGTCCAAGGTGTGGAGAGGGGCGAGCTTTATATGCTCCGGGAATGTTGGTGTAGACCTGGTCTAGCGTTCTGCCCTTCCTGGTTTTAATGTCCACGTTTTTATGGAATTTGGGGAGTACAGTCTTTAAATTGGTGTGGTTGAAGTCCCCAGCTACGATGAAAAAGCTCTCTGGGTGATTGTTCAGCTGTTTACTGATGGTGTCGTGGAGTTTGCTCATGGCTATGTTAGCATTAGCTCGGGGGTGGATGTACACAGCAGCTACAAGTACTTGAGTAATGTCTCTGGGCAGGTAAAAGGGTCGGCATCTTAGTAATAAAAACTCCAGGTCTGAACAGCAGTGTCTCTCGATGATAGTAGTGTCCGTGCACCAGATGTTGTTAACGTAAACACACGCCCCCTCCTCTCCTCTTACCGGAGTCTGACGTGCGGTCCGCCCGGAAGATTGTGCGTCCTGCTAGCTCCACGACGAGGTCCGGGATGTTTTCGTGCAGCCAGGTCTCCGTTATTATCGTGAGGCAGCTGTTGATGCGGTTGTTAATCTCTCGAAGTTTTAGTTCGTCCATCTTATTGACTAAGGAGCGGGCGTTGGCGAGAAAAACACTTGGAACCGCTGGTTTGTACGGTGCAGCAGCGAGCCTAGATCTGATGCCAGCTCGTTTGCCACGCTTCTGGCGTCTTTCACAACGCCGCCGTCTCCTTTCCTCCGTTCGTTCTCGCCGACGTATCTGCTCCGGGAACATGTCGAATCCCTCTGGGGTCTGAGTACGCAGCCTTGGGGGGCTCCCGTGCTCAGGGTGATGGTGCTCGAGGTGTTGTTACCGACGCATACTGCTTGCGGTACGCGGTCATCCAATGTTAAGATATTTTAGAATGAAAGATCAACAGTGATCATCTGACTTTTTTCTATTAAATGAAGTATTTCTCTCAAAGAAAAAGGCAACTCTGATATAATTTCACACAAAATTCATAAAATGGTTAGGAAATTATGTCAAACTTTTTCTCAATTGTTTTTGTGTAGTTCCAATGCACACAAAGGAAATAAACCGTATATATATACCTACCAAAACATGTGTAACAATCAATAACTCAATGGAAGAAATACTTATTTTCATGGAAAATGTTAGGGGTCCATACAGCTTATGTAATACTGTACACCCTGCGCTAATTTAGTAAGGTACTATTTTAAAACAGGAAAATTCGAAGGCTACATGAGCAATTTTATGACCACATGAAAATGACGATAAATCCCAGTATTAGCTATTCAAACTGCATTCAGACACGATCTCATGCACGTGGCTAGTTGAAATAAGTTGACTGTCAAACCTATGCATTGCATACAGGTCATATAAAGTATTAAAAATACAAGAAACTAACCTTGTTTAACGGTCGGGTAGCAGAAAACTATGGCTTGTCTGCAGCGGCAAATTGGCCGATGTACGCATGCGCAGTTAACTCGGATAGGAAAAAAACTATAGGTAGGAAAAAACTTCAGAACACCGGTATTTACCAAATAGATCAAGGAGCAACAGGTCGTCAAAGAGGGAAGTGTTGAAGACTTTGTTGTAAAAAGATGCTGCATCGTTTCAGTGAGTCCAAGTTATTATCACAGCGTTTTATGTACGCTGGACTGTGGGCCAGAGGCGCGTGCATCTGCAGCATATGGTCAGCGAGCGCGTGTTGGACACGTTTCTTGACGACTCTGCAAAAGAAAAAAGAACAAGTGTTTTTATGTTAGGTGAAAAGCTGATTTAAATGTTCGCGTATTATCTGTTCTGAAGTTTTCCATGAAATGCCATCAAACGGGGATTTTTAAGCAAGAAAAAATGGTGAAACAGCTTAACTTTGGATATTTAGGCTATACATCAAAATATAAAAAATATATAAAAATGGGCTTAACGCAATCAAATGATAATGTAAGTTTTAATAAATAAAACCAAAATAATTTCAGTGATAGAAACAGGCATTATTCAAATAATAAGTGAGCAGGAAACATACCCAGGAGGGAATATTGTGATGAACTTCCTTGAAAGTGTTACGATTATTGACAAACACTAGTCCGTAAAATGTTTAAATTTTATGAAATGTTTTAAAACCGCCGGATATTGAATAGGGTTCTTTTTGACAACCAGGGAGAAAACAAACAAAAACAGAACAAAAAAGAGGATAAAACAAAAAAACTATAAGTAACAAAGAACAATACACAATTAAATAACCAAGACTGAAATCTTTTAAGCATTTCAAATTTTAGTAATGTTTTAATGTCTAAATTTGATTTCTTTATATGTATATATGTATATATATACAGTATATACCATATATACATATATACACAGACATATATACGTGTGTCATTGATGGTTAACACCATTCTCTGTATGCTATTATTATTATTATTATTATTAGTAGTAGTAGTAGTAGTATTACAAATATTACTATGGAATTACTAACACTACTACTTATAATTATTATTATAAACATATTTAAATATATTGTATATATATGCACATATACTCATACATATATACATACATATACAATAGTCTAACAAACAACATACACGAAACAAAACAAATGTTTTTTGGTTTGCCTTTTTTATTTTGAAAAACTTCAATTAATATAACAATAAATGGCAAAAGCTCTCGTCGGCAAATTGGACTATGGAGTTTCAAAAATAGCCATTAAATTAAGAGATACAAATATCAATAAATACATGTCAATTATTCTCATCCAGTGAAAGCAAAAGACACACGAGTTCATCTGAAGGTACAAAAGGAAAACAATAACAACAACAAAAGTACAAAAGAAGCCAGCAGTGATGGCTACCTTAAATAAGGCTATTTGTACACAGAGTTGGCAGTTCTAAGCTATCACAAACACATGAAATCATCACGGTTCGGAAACTACAATTCTCGAGCCTCTGGCTCGTCATCATTTACTGTGTAAAGTGCACATTATGAACTTTTGAAGTTGCAAAAACAAAAATATACAAAGGAGATGACAAATTGAAACCGTAAAGCAAAAGAAAAAATACTTTATAACATCTTTGTACATTATCAAATATAAACAGGTTAGCATTTTATGGAAGACAGCTTTTTTTTGGTCGGAATGACGTGGGAAATACCCATGGCAGTGCTGAGGGCTACATGGCACAGGGGTCTTCCGGCCACGTCTCCATGGAAACTGTAGAGATTATAGGCTGTACATATATTGGCAGAACCGAATCGGGGCTATGTCACGTTAAAATATGCATAAGTAACAGGTTGGTATTGGTAAAAAAAAGCTAAAGCTTAAGCTTTTGAAAACATAATTTGATTTTTTAGCTGACACGCAGCGACATGGACTCGTTAGTTTGGAGCGAAGTTTAAATTACGCATGTTTTGGTGATTCCGTCATTATTTGGACATATGGATGTGATGGCTGGGCAGTTTGAGTTCTGACAGGTCGTCTTCTTCACTCGAGTGCAGCTCCATGGCTATTTCATCCGAGTCACTGAAGTCGGAGTGCGGGGAAAACTCTCCGTCGCTGCGCGGAGACTCTTTTCTCGCTGCGCTCGGTGCCAAACAGCCGCTGGACCATGAGGAGGACGGATGAGAAAGAGAACACATCGCTTCTTCAACTAAGGCTGGAAAGGAAGTGCTGTCGAAGGTGGAGCGATAAGGACTCCCGCTGATGTGGACAGGCAAGCTGCCGGCTGCAGGTGCTGTCCTGGGGGACGAAGACGCTCTGTCTTTGGCTGCGTCAAAGCCAACGGCGGCAGAAAGCAGAAGGTCAGACTTTGGCGAGTTGTTGCTGTTGCTGCTGCTAGAGGTATCTTTATTGCTGTTAGAAGAAGCTGGACCTTGGAGCAGCTCGGCCAGTGCGTTTATGTAAATCTGCGCCATCTGCAGAGTCTCATATTTGGAGAGTTTCTTATCGTTGTCCAAAGCCGGAATGACGCTGCGCAGCTCGTCAAACGCGTGGTTGAGGCCGTGCATCCGCCTTCTCTCTCTGGCGTTGGCCGCGACGCGTCTCTGTTTTTGGACCCCGTTTACGGTTTTGCTGGACGAGGCTCTCTGTCTAGTGGCTGCCTCCTCTTCAGACCCGGGGATAGTGCCTTTGAGGCGGCACAGGTCCCTGAGTTTGAGTGAGGAAAAGGAGGGGCTCTTGGCCGACTTTCTGTAGCTGGGAGGGCTGGGATGACCCGAGGACACCGGGGAGCCACTCTCTGAAAGTAAAAAAGAAAAATGTTTAGCTCCTTGAAATAGACTATTATCACTTCTGCACAACTTGTGCAGGTCGTGTGAAGAGTGCATCAGCAGCTGCAGCTTTTCTTACCCTGGTAGGAACTCGTTCTCGGGCAGGGTGAGTGTCTCAGATAGTCAGGTGAGTCGGCGTGTGCCGCGCAGGTGCCCGGAGGCTGAACTGAAGCCAGCCACACGCGTGGGTCAGTGGCACTGTCCACAAGCGTCAGGCCTGACTGGTAGTGGGTCTCCTCCAGTTCCAGCTCCCGCTGCCCATCTCTGTCCGCTACTTTGGAGCTGTGCTGCCGCGTCCCGAGCGCTGCGACCGCCTCCAACGCGTCCTTGCACCAATCGTCCACATTGAGGACTTCCATGTTTCCAAAGGCGCGACAGTTACGCAAAGTCAAACAGAGGCTCAGTGGATGGATGAAAAGTCCTTGATGGTACGCACTGATATTTTGATGACGCAGTCTGAGGGTCGCGTGTGGGACTCCTACTATGGTGTCTCGAGACGCGGCGTCCGTTTAAAAAGCGCCACGCGCCTGGGAGCCCTCCTCATCGAGCTGGTCGCGTGTTGACGTCCAATGAGAAGCATCGCCAAAACCCAAGAGAGGCGACGGTGACCCCCCGAAGTTAGGCTGTTTATGGAAACGTGACGTTTGCAGTAGTGTTTAACGCAGGGGAGGAAAGAGGAACCTCCCACAGGACACACGTGCACGGGTTTAGGTGAGGAGCGTGGACAGCGCGAGGCGTGCGCAACAGAGCACATGTCCGTGCGTCACACTGTAAGAAATGTTCGTAAAAGTGACAGTAAAAAACTGTTAAAAACCAACAGTAAAAGACTGTAAATTGAAAACAGTCTATCAGTGTACTAGATACATAGAATTATACTAAATTAATAAACGGTGTTAAACTTTAATTTTTACAGTGACAATATGTAAAACACACAGTTCTACTGTGGAAAATATAATACTTTGATAAAATTAAAACAATGTGTGATCAGTATGGACAGAAAAACACCAAAAACCGAAAATAGCATATAACACGCAATAATAATAATGTTCAATACCATAATGTCATATTTTGCAGATGTGTACTTATGAGTATGATCATTATAACAAAACAAGGCGTGTGTTAAAAGCAGAGTCATATTTTGTGGTGTGCTGTGTGTCACAATGACAAAACATAAGTCACTTTAATTTATTTTGATGTTTTTACAATTGTATTTATTTCTTTTCAGAGTTTGAAACATTGTTTTGACATATTTTATTTTATTTTTATGTACAGTGTCCTTGAGTGACCTGAAAGGCGCTTTTAAATAAAATGTGTTATTATTATTATTATTATATTTTATATGATTGTGTTCTCAGGTTTTTCTATTGTTGTGTTGACTGTATAGTAAATGAGGCAGCTACCTCAGTACACTCCAGAGTTTAAAATAAATAAATAAATAAAAAACTCTGCCTTGGATT